TTATTGTGGGGTGGGGGGGGGGCGGGGGGGGGGGGGTGCAGAAGGGATCCTCGCCTAGGGTGCAAAATAAGCTGGAGCCGGCCCTGCTGGCTGGATCCCACCCATAATAATAATGTTTGCATCCACAGAGGACATACCCATGGCCAGTGCTGGACACACCTTCCAAGCCAGAGTCAACAGAGGGGAGTTCCGCGGGAGGAGAACAGCAACAACACCTATGGGAAGGTTTATGTTTCGTCAGGAAAAATTAAGTTGCACCTTTAAGACCATTAAATACTTATTATTTACAGAGTACAAGTTCCCATAAGCTATTACCTACTGCTTCAGATGCCAACAGAGTGTGTGGGGTTGCCAACACCCCCTAGGGGCCTAGAGCTCTCCCAGAATAGTAACCAATCTCCAGACAACAAAGATCAGCTCCCCTGGAGAAAAGGGCTGCTTTGGAGGGCGGACTCCATGTGGCATTGTGGCATTATACCCAGTCCCAACCAATGTTCCCTCTAAGCCGTGGAGTCTTGTGAGCAAAAATCTACTTTGTGAGCTAGTGGCATTAAAGTTGTGAGCGAGCGATTGGGCTGCTGCATAAATTAGTTTGGCTCTGGAGCCATCCTTCCTGAGCCGAGACAAAAATCTGTGAGCTGGAGGCAAAGAAACTGTGAGCTGGCTCACACTGACTCAGCTTAGAGGGAACACTGGTCCCAACCCACTGTTGGCCTACCTAAGTGGAACAATTAAGCTAGGGAAATCAGTGAATGGAATAAGGGTGTGGTGGCATCCACAAATAGTAATTATGCATTGAGTTGGGGGGGGGGGAGAGGTACAGAGTTACTCTTGACACCTACAGCACAAAAAGAAACTGCAATCCTGATTTAGGCTTTGATTCACACAAGCAACTTTGCAAATGGATCCCTCTCCCAGCACCTCGCGTTCCACACAGCTCCAGATTCAGCTCCCTGAAAACGGCTGCTCTGAAGTCGGCAATGCTGTGACCGGACAGCCGAAATGTTTGCCCACAAGCGGTTAGAGACTCTTATTCCAATTAACCTTTTTTCCTCTTCAGACATAACCGCTCTCTGCCCAACAGAGACTGTTCTCGGGCATGCCTGGCAAGATACAGCAGACACAACAGCAGGCAGAATGGCACGCTTAGGCACCCTGGCACAGCGGGATGTTTAATCAGAACTCTAGGAGTTCTCTAGAATGGAGTTACGATCTACGGACGGGGACTGCAAGCCAAGCCCTCTTCATTCTCGAACATGTGAGCAGGGAACTAGAGCAGATCACTGTAGGAAGCTGGGCCTTTCCAAGAGGATACATTCCTGAACAGACCTCTTTTTCGAGGGCTGGAGTGGGAAAAGCCAAGTTTACAGTATGTGAGATGTGATTTTAGCTGATCATCACCCCTAGAAACAGGGAACCGGGTAGAAGTGCTGGCTCTCCAAGAAAGGTGTTTTGATAAAGGCAACAGCAACGCCCACCACCATTCAAGTAAGATGCACCATACAGGCTATCAGTTACAGGTTGTATGTTTGGCTACCCTTGGCCATTGTTGTTCCTTGCCTCCAGGTGCGACTATATCAATCTATCAAACACTCAGTGGTAAAGCCACACATCTATCCTCCTCCCAAACTAGTCCAAGGACCAGGGACTGGAGATTTCCTGCTAAAACTCCCACATCCCCCAACTCACCAAGAGGCTTCCAGTCCTTCATCTCCACCTCCATTAGCTGGGCCCAACCAGCATAATGGTAGAAATGCCGGACAACCAAAGGCAGGTCCGCATCCCGGGCATCGCGGAGAAGTTTCCCGCTGTCTAGACTCTCCAAAAGGCTGAGTAACCGTTGGTGTTTCTGGATATTCCTGGCCACACTGGCAAAACAGAAACAGAAGGCATCGTGTCAATTTAAGTAGACTGAGAAAATACCTCTCAGCTGCCTGGTAGGTGACCATTTCCACAGCTCCACTCAGAACTAACAACAAACTGTAGTTTGTTATTACATGAACAAGGATCTGAAATCCTCAGACTTGAATTCTCTCCCCTCCCCTCCTTTCATGCACCGCTTTGAGACTGAATGTTTCTTTGTCCCCAGAAAACCAGAGCTCATTGTGAAATCTGGATTTTAGAAAAAGGCAAACCAGGGTCTCTTGCAGACAAGCCAGGATTCCAAACCACCATGAAATTCCAGTGTGTGTAGGCAGGAGGACAAAAACTCTGTTTGCTGCCTTGTCTGCTTAAGATGTCCAAACATGCTGTGGCTTGCTAGGAACTAGGAAGTGGAGAGGGGGTGAAATTGCCATCTCTTTTCCACCAGCATAGCTCTGTTGATGAACAAGGCAGGAAGGGCAATTTCTGAAGGCTTGCCATTTGCCCGGTGACAGCAGGCAGTCATTTGCCCCTGTTCTCAGTCTCCTGTCATTGAGGATTTGAGAAATGGGAGGAAAGAATGGGTGTGGGAGGTAAATGGCATCAAGGGGGACAATCTAGGAATCCTTCCCCCGTCTTGATGCTAAAGACCACAGAGATTGAGGAATATAAAATTCCTAGAGTGTCACCATAGACCCCACCCTTTTTTCACTGGTTCCTTAAATTATTATTGGGAAAATTCCTAGAGCATTGTCTGGAAGTGCCATCACATTTCCCACAAAACTCCACCTTCCCCAAACGCTGCCCCATAAATCTTCTGGCATTCCCTAGTGTCCAGCAACCAACACTAGGCTCCTGTAACTCAAGGAATCTACTTTAGAAGGGAAGGGAGAAGCAGACAGGAAAGCAACCAAGATCTGTGCTCCTTCTGCTAGTAGTAGCTAGAATCCAGTCCTTCTTGTTGTTACGTCTGAGTGTCCGTTTCCCTAATCTGGAAGAAATCGAGGCTGTGTTCATTAGAGACCAAACAATAACCCTCATGTGTGTATCTAGAGTATAAACTGGCACCAGTGTATCACGGCATCCTCAAAGAACAAAAGTGCTCAGAATTCTATAAGAATTCCAAATCCCCCTCACCCCCATGGAACTACAGTTCCCAGAGATCCCCTAGGTACCACCAAAGAAGCTGCGGTGACAATTCCAGAACCACCAAGATTCTAGAAGTGACCAGGACATAGCAGAACTCGTCTTTGAAGAGGACCACTTACTTGTAGAGGTGTCGGGCTCGAACGTGGGCAGACTGTTGACCCCAGATTTGAAAAGCATTTGTGGCAGCACTGACAGCTGCTTTGACATCTTCTCCATTCCCCTGGAGGGTGGTGGCCAAGTGCTCCCCTGACAGTGAGGGGAAAAGGAAAGAATCAGTTTTCATTTTGTTCTTTTATCATAGAGTTTTCTGGCGATTCCTAGAGCCACCCGACATGACTTCCGGGTTTCCCCCAGAAGTGATACAGCAGCGCACACAATGTCGCTCCCCACATGCCCCCAACCCCGAACCTCCCGCTGGTTGCCACAGCCTACCTGGCAAACCTACACCATAAGTACATTTCAGAGGAACTAATATTCATCAGCACTGGTCCCTTCAGCCTCAGGCTACACCCATTAATAGCTCCATAACTCTGCCTATGTCCCAAGGCAACTGGAACAAACCAGCTCAAGCAAAGGAAAGCATACAATTATTCGCAAACAGTCTTTTTTAAAAAAAACATCAAAGGCATTGCGCTTTTGGGATTATTTCTAAAGCATGCAATTCTAGAAAGTCCAGTTTGACATACCTAAGATTTCTGCACCAGGTTTTCTGGCAGAACAAGGCACATCAAAGACAGCGATAGAGGACCCTCCTCTCCCAAGGACAAGAGAGCTGTAAAATGCAAAATGACAAAGAAGGCATTGCATTTCCTCTTGCCTTGTCTAGCATGCTGTTTTCTGGACCTGGAAGTTACAGAACAAGAACAATGGAGCCATCTCTTGGAAAAGGCAAATTAATTCAGAAAAGGAAAGAACCTGGCATGAAAGTCATGCCATACAGCGCTGAGTATTTGAGTTTCCGACACAAAAACTCAAGCACATGAGGGGCCCGGCGGTGGACCTGCAAGGCCGGCGGGAGTGCAAGGAAGCCCCGCGAAGGCCCTCCCTGGCCCCAGGCAGGCAGGGGTGGGGAGAGGCAGGGAGGAAGCAACTTACCCTCCCTCTTCTCCTGTCTCCTCCTGGCTGAATGAGGGCCAGAAGCGGGGCAGTCGGAAGCAGGGGGCGGGGCTTCATCATGTGCCCCGCCCCCCATACCTCACCCGGGGGAACTGCGATACCCCGCGACCCCCCCCGAAATGACCTCTGTTTATTCCGTTTCCTCCAGCCATGCAAAGGAGCATAAGAGTGCAGGAGACACTGCTAAATTCACCCGGTCTCAAAGCCTGCCCCACTCTCCCTCCATGGTGCTGGATCTACAGGACACTTTCTGCTCACAGAGGACACCTTTGACTCCATCCCCAAGTAATGCTCTCTCTAAACTGTGGAGGCTTGTGAGCAAAAATTCTACTTTGGCCCCGGTCACACGGCAAAGTTGCCGCGGGAGAGGCACGGATGGTGGGTGGATTATCCGGGCGCGATCACACCCCAACATCTGGGAAGTGGAGTGCACCCGTGGCTTAGCGCCGACAATGTGCATTAAAAACCTAGTACCTCCAAGGTACTAGTAAACGTTTGCCACAGGCTGCCTCCAGACGCCCGTGGTGTGATCGCACCGGTGCATGGCATTCCCCTCCGGTCCCTCGTTTACCCGCCTGCGCCGAGGGAAGGACCTGTGGTGTGCCGCCGGCGCGTCTGATCGCGTAATCGCAGATCAAACTGCGCCGGGGCAATTAGCCACGCCTCCCCCCCGCGAAATCCGGCCCATGTGACCGGGGCCTTTGTGAGCTACTGGCATTAAAGTAGTGAGTGAGCAACTTGCAGCATCTTGTGCAAACCTTGTAATTGGTTTCTTTCAAGAATACTGTCTTGAAATCTATCTTTGACTGAGGAATACTAATATCTTTATTTTGTGGATAGTACAGGGGAATAGTACTATGGGTGATTGTTTTCTGACTTGCAAAATGAATTCAGAATTCATAAGGGTGCACAAAAGTACAGAGCGAGAGCTCTCAACACTGTCCCCCAAATAATGTTATTGAGAATAATGAAACCCCACCATGCTGGCCACGAAAAAGCCCCGCATAACCTCCCGTTAGCAATTCTGACATCATACCTGCCTATTTTCACAACCGGGGTGATGGTGGAAATTGCTGTCAAGTCATGGCTGACTTACGGCAACCCTGAAGGTTTCCAAGTCAAGAAACGTCCAGAGCAAAATTCCTACGACTTCTTCCCTTGTAGCCACCTGGTTCCCTATTCTAGAATATTTAAATCAATTTGATGACACACCTAAAGAAATAGACGCTCTACATCTATGGTAACCGATTTTATTATATCAAAGATTAATTTCTATTTACATTGTGATTGGCTTCCAACTAATGAAAGACACCAATCAGTACACTAGGACAATATGAAGGATTCTTTGTTATTTATCTTTTGTATTTGAATTTAAGGTACATAGCCAATTGTATAGTATACTTGTATAATATTTTGTAACTGACCACCAATTGTTAACACTCTGACTCACCAAACAATGTTTGTTAATTGTTGAGTATCCACAGTTTTATGATTCAATAAAATATATTGTAAAAAGAAAAGAAAAGAAAAAGAAACGTCCAGAGGTGGTTTGCCATGGCCTGCCTCTGTATCATGACCCTGTTATTCCTTGGAGGTCTCCCAGCCAAATACTAACCAGGGCCAGCCCTGCTTAGATTCAGGGATCTGATGAGGCTGGGCCAGCCTGGGCTATCCAGGCCAGATTTCACAACCAGGCTTCAACAGGAAAACAAACCCAAGGCCCCTGGAATGTCGATTTCTGTGTGCCAGGGTCAAATCCTGAGCCTGCACAGTACAGAGACCTACATAATACACTGCCAGAACCCGTTGATTTTGATAGAGCCCATTGGTTTTGACAGATTGGAGCAACTCTGCATAGGACTGCACAGACCATTGCTCACACTCAGGGGTCGTTTCGTAGAAAAAGAGCTAGGGGAACTCATTAGCATAACTCATTAGCATATGCCACACCCCCTGACATCACCGGAAGTGTGTCATAAAGCCACACCCCCTGACATCACCGGAAGTGTATCACAAGGCCACACACCCCGCCCCCAACGGTCCTGGCCGCCACCGCCGGCCTTGCAGCTCCACTGCCGAGCCCCATGAGGGGCCTGGCGGTGGACCTGCAAGGCCGGCGGGAGTGCAAGGAAGCCCCGCGAAGGCCCTCCCTGGCCCCAGGCAGGCAGGGGTGGGGAGAGGCAGGGAGGAAGCAACTTACCCTCCCTCTTCTCCTGCCTCCTCCTGGCTGAATGAGGGCCGGAAACGGGGCGGCCGAAAGCGGGGCGGCCGGAAGCAGGGGGCGGGGCTTCGTCATGTGCCCCGCCACCTCGTACCTCACCCGGGGGAACTGCGATCCCCCGCGATCCCCCCCGAAATGACCTCTGCTCACACTGCTCATCTCATCCCTTTCTTACCTGTGGTGGGATTTTTGGTGGCGTAGGTCTCCCTTCCCCCCGGTTTCAGCCACTTGCCATCTACGAAATGCCCAAAGCTGCGGCCGTGAGACTCCAGCCAGGCCTGGAAAGAAGTAGGGGAAGAGATTACTATCCATCTAGGTTCAAGGGATACAATCCAAAATAAATGATAAAGACGTAAAGCAGAACCTTTCTTCTGCTGGAAGGATGGAGGCAACTATCCCGAAAATTATCCGTTCCAATTCATATATTTTTTTAAATTAAAAAACAAAGCTGATAGCCCAGGCAAACTCGATCTTGTCAGATCTCAGAAGCTAAGCAGGGCCGACCCTGGCAAGTAGCTGGAAGGGAGACCTCCAAGGAATACCAGGACTCGGGAGACGGAGGCAGGCAATCGTAAGCCACCTCTCTGAAACATCCAAGTCCCACTAGGAGTCACCAGACGTCACCATGACTTCCAGGCATGCAAGCACTCAAACACACGCATGAATACCCACACACACAAAAAGGAGAAAATTAAGCTGATGGTCTGTAGATTCAGAATGAACAAAAGGAAATACTTCTTTACACAGGGAGTTATTAAAATGTGGAATTCGCTGCCAGAGGATGCAGCGATGGCCACAGAAATAGACAGCTTTAAAAGGGGATTGGATAGAACGATCAGTGGCTATTAGCCATGGGGACTGAGGGGAACCTCCATATTTAGAGGCACTAAACCTCTGAATCCCAGACCCAGGAGACAACATCAGGGAAAGGCCTCAGTGTCTATGCCCTGTTGTTGGACCTCCAGTGGAGCTGGCTGATCAGTGGTCTGGTACAGCAGGGCTCTTCTTAGGTGCTTATGTACTATGAAGAAATGGCCTGTGTGAATTCCGTGGAGGAGGGGGGAAAGGGGGAAAGTTGACTTTCTGAACATATATTCTGCTCCCAATCTGCCACACGCTGGAAACGTAGGAAAAGTGTTGGGTATTACAAGTTGAAAACACTCAGTATATCTGGGGTTAAATGTCTGTTTATGTTACTCACAGGAAGTCACGTTTGTTTGTAACCAATCTGTTTAGACAATAGGATGCCCGGGAACTTTGGAGCTAATTTGCTACTCTGATTGGAAACCAAGGTGTCAAGTATTTTAGCATATTGGTTTCTCTTCCTCTCTTTGTTCTGACTGAGAAGGAGACACCATTTTTCGGCTCTCCCCGTTTTACCTTTTAGCTGCAAGGATGTAGGCATAATAGCTCTTTGTTATTTTATATCCTGTGTACCTTTTTCCCATGTTAGGTTTATAGTAAACTTTTATATTTTAATACACACCATGGACTCAGCCTCTTAATACTCTGCTGACTTACTTAAAAAGAATCCCAACAAAGGTTATGGAGCCCAGATCCACTCCTATCTGCACAGAGCTGGCCATGTGTGTATGATGAGATTACTTAGAAACTTTTAAGAATAGCACAAGTGAGGGAGGAAGTGGTAAATCCCAACAGCCCTGCAATTTAGGCACTGGTTCAACTGCACCAAAATTATCTGGGAGGATGGTGTCACCTGGTGGTGACTTCAACATGGACCAGGTCCAAATATCTCAGTGGTAGATCACGTGCAACGCATACAGAAGGTTCTGGCCAGGGCACCGCCAGTTAAAGAACCTTGAGAAGAAGATTTTAGGAAGCACCTTTTCCTCTGCTTGAGAAGTGCTGCCAGTCAGAGTAGACAATGCTACACTTGGAAGGGCCAAATGACCTGACCCACTATATGGCCACTGCACAGGCACACTGGTAAATGTTTCTGAGAAACCGCCCATTTGGGGGAGCAAACCTACCCGCCACATGACACAACAGATGGCATACAGTGGGCACCTTCACCAACCGCACGCTGCTTGCAAATGATGCCAATGGAAGAGGAGAGCCACATGCTCGGCACGACGGTCCCCGATTTGAACCCTGTTACATTTCTGTCTCACCCTTCCTTTTCAGCCTAACCTACCTTACAGGGTTGTTGTGAGCACAAAATAGACAAGAGGAGAACTGCAAGAGGAGTCCTTGAAGAAGGGACAAAGACAGGCTGGACAAACCCCTCTTTTAGAAGCACAATTTTATCTGCAGCAGCGGTTAAGATTTGGCCAGCTGCTCTTTAAGACTTTGTGGCAGACATCAGAATTCTTTCTTTTGACAAGATTTGCTTTATGACTCCTGTGGGAATTATATAATCACCGTATGAGTCAAATACTTGCAGCTGACCCTGCTCCAGGCTGACCTCTTACTTCATGTCAGTCAGGAGAGAGTTGAAAACCCGGCCAGGATCTGCACAGGGGTCATAAATTCAGGGCTGTTAGCCTGAATCAACAACGGCTGTCAATTCCCCTGGCTGCTTCAGCCACACATACACAGGCGCCTGCTGTACACACACACACACAGGCTCTTTCTTCCTCTCTCGCTTTGGGTCACGGCACTCTTGCAGGCTGCCGACTCATCCGCTCCAGCCGCCTCCCCATCGCAGAGAAAGAAAGCCCACTGAGGTCACTTCAGGATGAGACAGAGAAAGCAAACAGTCCCGATCTTGCAGATCTTGCAGCACCCTAAAGACCGATAGAACCTTCCATAGACCTAGAGCCAAGGATGCATCTCAGGAACCTGTTAAGAATATTTTTTTTAAGGTGTCATAAGGCACTTTTGTTGCCTTTGCTTAAACAAACTCAGGCAGTGAACCTTCTGGAACCAGTAACAGAGAAAGCAAGGAAACCCCACTCCCCAAACTACTTGCTGCCTTTTATAGTAACCTCTAAGAGAAATTATCCTGCCAACCTAGCAGTTCGAAAGCAAGACATTGCAAGTAGATAAATAGGTACCACTTCGGTGGGAAGGTAACAGCGTTCCATGCGCCTTGGTGTTTAGTCATGCCAGCCACATGACCACGGAAACGTCTTTGGACAGCGCTTCGGCTTTGAAACGGAGATGAGCACCGCAACCCTAGAGTCGGACTCGACTGGCTTTCGAGCAAGGGAACCTTTACTTTTACCTTTTAAGAGAAATTAACCATGAACTGGTTAACATTTGAAATGACTGAGAACTCCCAGTTCCTCGGGAAATGATATCAAACAATGCAGTTCTGCTCTCTACATAGGACAAAAAGACCAGTCCCTATGCAAAAGAATAAATGGACAATAAAACTGACATTAAAGACATTCGGAAACCACTCACACCACTCAGAAGTCCATCTTCCACAATGCAATGCTACTAAATTGATACACAATTCACTGTTCTCCAGAAAAAAAGAACTTCAAATTTCAAAGGAAGACTCCAGCGTGACACTGCTGAATTAGAACTCATCAGGACATTTCATACCATCTCCCAGGGACTTAACAAAGGCTTGGGATTCCCCAGCCATTAAAGGTGTTAACAAGCTTAGCAAAACTACGGAGTTACTGCCAGGGCTTTTTTTTGTAGAAAAAGCCCAGCAGGAACTCATTAGCATAATAGGCCACACCCAACAACAGAAACTCATTAGCATATCCAGCCACACCCATGAGAGCATAGCTCATTAGCATATTAGGCCACACCCCATGTTACCAGAAGTATAGTCATCCAGCCACACCCACCTTTTGCTTCTTATTTTGTTTACCTTGTTTGTTGTCAAAACCCAGGGCCTTTTTTTTATAGCAGGAACTCCTTTGCATGCTAAGCCACACACCCCTAATGTAGCCAATCCTAATGAGTTTCTGCTACTGGGTGTGGCCTATTATGCTAATGAGTTCCTGCTGGGCGTGGTCAACTTGGGAGCCAGCCGGAACTCCGTTCCTGTGCGTTCCTGCCCAAAAATAGCCCTGGTTACTGCTATTGTGACTGGCCTTGGTACTTTTCTCTGGGCCAAGCTAGACATCACGATGTCTGCAAATCCAACGTTTGGACACTGAAGACCCTTCAAAGCTGAAAGTTGGCAATTTAATCCTGATCAGGCCCACAGTGTGGCAGGACCAGGAGGTCTTGTCGTCCCTCCCCCCCCTGTGCCTTTTCCATTGCTGAAACAGCTGGGGGGGGGGGCAGCTGCTTCAGCACTTGAAAAGGCATGCGGGGGGGGGACAATGACAAGATCATCTGCTCCCACTGCGCCACAGGTCCAAACAGGTCCTTGTAGCATTTTTGAATGACATCAGCTTTAGAACGGCATCCTTGGGTCAGACCCATGGACACCATAACCTCAGTCTCATCCGGTTTTTACATCATCCCTTCACGCTCTGTAGTTTTTGCATTTCACAGCCCGATGACTCTGCTGTTTGCAAATGTTTCGTTTCCCCGTCAGGCGTGCTCACTGAGAACCCACCACATGCATTGGATAAACAGGCTCTACAGTCTGCAAAGCCTTACTGGAATAAGAACATAAGAACATAAGAGACGCCAATGTTGGATCAGGCCAAAGGCCCATCCAGTCCAACACTCTGTATCACACAGTGGCCAGAAATACCAGTGCCATCAGGAGGTCCACCAGTGGGGAAGAAGTACTTCCTTTTATCCGTTCTAACCCGACCGCTCTGCAGTTTCATGGACCTTGTTAGTCTCTAAGGTGCCACAAGACTCTTCTGCTTGTTCTTACCAAAACTGCAGCTACCCCTCTAGAATGATTACCAATGCTCCCTCTAAGCTGTGGAGTCTTTGTGAGCAAAAATTCTACTTTGTAAGCTGCTGGCATTAAAGGGGCAAGCGAGCATTTTGACTACTGCACAAATTACTTTGCTCTGGAGCCATCCTTCCTGAGTGGAGACAAAAATGTGTGAGCCGGAGGCTAAAAAACTGAGCTAGCTCACACTACCTTAGATTAGAGGGAACACTGAATTACCCTTCTTCAGTTTTTGCAGTGATCTAGGAGTGTCCTCCTGGCCTCCCTTTACATCAGGCTTAGGTTAGATTTGCTTGCCCAATCAAAAATGTGAGGCTACCGTGACTTAAGGAGGAGTTTATCTTACGATCACAGAGGCCCTTAAAAAGAGGTCTAGGAGACAGAACATTTGGCTCAGTGAAAGATCACATGCTTTGCCAGGAGTAGGTGACGGGTACACCCCTACTGAAAGATCTCTGGGAGCCAATGTTGAGAAACGCCCTTCTCTGCCTGAGATGAGACCCAGAAGAACCACTGCCAGGAGACAATACTGAGCTAGATAGACCAATGGGCTGGCTTGGTATAAGGTAATTTTACAGAGCTGAAGTTCTCAAGAAGCGACAGCGAATCCGTTGAAGGCAGGGATTAGAACTCTGGGCTCTTGGACTCGCTGCAAATGGCTTGCTCTCAGCACACGCAACCTTTAAGAGCGGGGGCTCTTGGACGCTGGTGTCGTTCGGGGGGTCCCCTTCGAGGCCTTTGCAGAGATTCCAGGCCTCCTCCTTTATGAGCCGAGGCCCGTTCGTCTCCTCCTCTTCTCCCGCAACTCCTCTCTCTTTTTGGCTCTTTGCCCACATCTGCCGAATCCAGTCCATCTCGGCTGTCCACAGCCTCCTGTCCTTCTCCCGCTGGGCCTTCTCCTCCTCCCACAAGCCCTGGAACAGTTTCTCCCGCTCCCGGAAGTGTGTCCGGATATCCCGTACGAGCTCGTCGAACCTGTCCTCCCGGGGCCTCTTCCTTCGGTTTCGGAGCTGAGCCAGCTTTTCTCGTGTGCTCAGCAGGGCGCGCGGTCTGGGGAAAGCTGGAGGGGGGCAACAGAGAGAAGACGCTCATTCAAAAAGGGGAGCAAGACCACCGCTTGAGGTTCCAGAAGAATCAGTAAGACTCCAGCAAGGGTTCAG